TCACACGTAAAAAAAAATGTTTGAGGTGGTGAGACGCCAAGTTACAAAGATTATAGAAGAAAATGACCTGTACAACCCAAGTTAACATGGGTTTGGAGGGAGATCATTACATAAATAACCCGCACATAGGAGAGTCGTCCTTAGCTCCCGTCTCCTATGTGCGGGTTATTTGTGTATTGTTCCAGTCACGGTATTGTGCCTTTTCGTTCTCTGAGGGAGATCATGCTTATCACAACTACTGGATCATGATAATTAAATTACGAAGGCTTGGGAAGAATTTCACAATGTACACGGTGTACACAGACTTCGCTAAGGCAAGTGCGATCACAGAGTGAAAGCAGATGAAATAAGAATAATAGGTAAAACAGGACAAGTTTGCAAATGTATATACAATTTCCTAACAGGTACAACACAAAGAAGCAGTAAACACTGCAAAATCTAGGCTAAGCAATGTAAAAACTTAAGTACCCTAAGATACAGTCCTGGAACCACTCCTGTTTCTCATTTTCATAGCATATATTAAAACAAACCATATCTTTATATCACACTTTGCATATGACAAAAGTTAGCATGAAAGCCACCTCAACAGAAGACAAAAAACCTGAAAAAGTATAAAACCAAAAATATTCCAGTGGATTGTTGAAAATAACATTATGTTCATTGGAGATAAATTTCAGTTGCTAAGATATGAAAAAAATAAGTAACTCAAATGGGAACGATATACAAAATAGAGGGATCACCCCATGGAATGTAAAGAAAATGTGAAGGATCTCTTATAATAATGTCAGCTTATCTATCTTTCAAATAAGATAAACCAGATGCTGCAAAAGCCAAGAAAATGACCAGGTGGATAATGAGAACTTTAAAAAAAACAAGAGAAATAGTTGAAGAATTGAGACACTTATGCAACACATGGGAATCTTTATTGAAGAAACGTTTCGCCACACAGTGGCTTCATCAGTCCAATACAAAGTAGAAATGGGTAAGGAGAGTAGAAGTTTGAGGTAATCAGTCCCTCAACCTGGAATCGATGTGTTCAGTCCATCACTCTTGTAGGAAGTGCAGCATAGGGCCAGAGGTGGCTTATATACTGCGGTGAGATGAGTTGAAGCAGGAGGAGGCGGGATCACAGTGGGACCTGCCACTAGTGTAAGTAGGTCGTCGTCCAAAGGTTGGGCAAGCGTTGAAGTCTTTGTACCAAGATCCCATGATGTTGCAGTGTCTGACAGATGTGATGAATGGTTTTGAAAACCGACTAGTGGCAGGTCCCACTGTGATCCCGCCGCCTCCTGCTTCAACTCATCTCACCGCAGTATATAAGCCACCTCTCTGGCCCTATGCTGCACTTCCTACAAGAGTGATGGACTGAACACATCGTTTCCAGGTTGAGGGACTGATTACCTCAAACTTCTACTCTCCTTACCCATTTCTACTTTGTATTGGACTGATGAAGCCACTGTGTGGCGAAACGTTTCTTCAATAAAGATTCCCATGTGTTGCATAAGTGTCTCAATTCTTCAACTTGTCGGTTTTCAAAACCATTCATCACAAGAGAAATAGTGTCAGTGGTAACTGTTCACATTACACTTGTTCTCTAGCTTAGGGTACTGCTCAGTGTTGACAGAGGTTCAGAGACTGCTCGAAAAAAAATTCCAATAAAGCATTTAAACTATTGAGAAACCTCAAAAAAAAAATGGAAATATGCGCTCTGGAAAGGAGAGAGGGTAATATACACATGGAAGATGCTAGCGTACCTAGTTCCATATCTTCACACTACCGTATCTTACTGGAATTAGAGATGAGAGAAGTGAAAAACAGACCCAGTGGACCTAGACACACACATTCGTTCCCTGTCATCTGCAGTAAATATCAGAAAATGTTGACAAAATGGGAAATATCACCATTTATGGCAAGAGAGAATTTAAGCTTTAGTCGGGAAAGTACTCTATGGAAATAATGACACCCCTTCCAGAGAAAGCAGCCCATATACCCAGGTACAAACAATCGCCACACTAAGGTGATCTAGAGTCAACGAGTTACTAGTACTGTAGTTGAGACGCTCAACTGAGTTGTGTCTGGTAGTTTATCAACTCACCAGTGTTGTCCCGTAATTGCTGATCCAATCATCGCTTTTATTGATATTTGACCCAGTCAACTGTAATTTGTTTTGATAGTTAATTCACCCAATGTAGTTTGTTTTGATAATTCAGTCAACTGTAGTTTATTTTGATGGTTGACCCAATTAACTGTTTTACCTCCCTGCCTGTTAATCCATTCCAATTTCAACGTCTCCCATTATACCTTTCCTCTCCCTCCCTCTCCTGGTAAGTGACTTCCCTTTACAGTATCGAACTTTCATCTCTAATAATAAACAGCAGAACGTACATATTTCGTGGTTCCTCCCCTCTTCCCCCCCCCCCAAAAAAAATATCATCGTAATATTAAAAAAAAAAAAACATTCAGTATATGAAAGAGTTTCCAGAATGGTACAATACCGCGGAGGTTCGCCTCCCTCAGGCCAAACATCACTGCGTCGGAAAACATTATCATTGTGAAACTCTTATTTTTACAGTATTTTTTCATCATTAGATACGTGGAAATGTTATGAAATCTTTGAATGCCAACCTGAAAATATGTACGAGGGTTACTGAGAGCACCGGTATTGTGCTGTAGTCATGGGAAAACGTTTGATCCAAGTCAGGGGAGGGTAAGTCCACTTTTTGAGATCAAGAGCCCTTCATTAGCATCAAAGCACCTACTGCCTCCACTAAACAGGCCATGAACCATCAAAGACCCACCAGCAACAGTTACATTAGCAAGACCCATTAGACACGTTTACCATAGGCGTATAACTTGGTCCTCTTCGCGCGCCAGGTGTTAGGGTATTTTGGGGTTGCTGAATTCGAATATGTCAGAAGGGTTTTCAGATTGGCTCTAGTTTGCGAAATATTGCATACATGCCTTGAATTAACAGGGAACTTAGCCATAACTCGTGTATATGTAGTGACAATTTGTATACGCAGATAGTTTTAATTAACATTAGAATTTTATTTTTAAATGGTTTAATATTTAACGAAATTGTATTAACAACGACCACGTGACAGTATTGTAACCATTATTTTATTTTTTCCCAGATAAACATGAGTTCTTCACGAAGAACTTGCTTAAACAATACCAGTGTATTTTGCTACATTTGTGGCGAATAATCTTTGCAAAAACAAAGAAACAAGCTAATTTTGAAGTGGCGCTTGGAGAAAAAGACAAGTCTTGGGCTCTCCATATGGTTTGCAAAACCTGTGTACAATGTTTATGACATTGGAAAAATGGACAAAGGAAAAGTTTAAATCTGGGTGTGTCTATGGTGTGAGAGCCGTAAAACCACCACGACGATTGTTATTTCTGTATGGGGAATGTGAAAAGTTTCAACAGATACAGAAAAGTCTGGGAATATCCTGATTTGGAGTCAGCAAGGTGACCTGTGCCACACAGCAACGACGTTATCACACCAGTGTTTACAACACTGACCTTCCATTGTCAGATGTTGAAGAAACTCAGAGTTCAGGATGTAACACAGGTGATAGCAGTGGAAGTGAATATGAAGTATTTCATCACCCCAGCAGTTCTCCCAGGAACAAGTCAGTGATCTGATACATGGCCAAGTCTGTCACAGCAAACATCTGAACTTTCAGTATCCAGACAAACTGAAAAGAGCTGTCTATAACAAGTTAAAATAAAAGCTTACCGGACTACTACTTCGAATGGGACTTGAATATCAACCAAGAAATTAATGGTTGTTTATAGACAGCTCCATTAGGAGCTTGAAATGTGTCTTATTGCACAATGGTCACTAATATGCATCTCTTACAATTCCTCACTCAACAAAACTGCTGATGACTAACAAAAGAAAATCTTACCACGTTTTCATATGCAGTAATTAGTGGTATCTGAATTATCTTACTATGTTAATCTGCTATTATTTAGAACGAAGTGTTAGTATGTCTTACATGATTTGATTTTTGCATGATCTAAATATAATTTCAGTGCGATTTGTAGGTTAGCCTCGCCTGATCAATATATTTTTCACATCCTTTATGTTTTTCAATGGGATACCAAATTTATCAAAAACTAGAGCTAAATCAAGCAAAACCGATGACATTCAGAATCAGTACCACAAACTTGCCCTAAAATCGGTGTAATATCATTGGCCAGAAAATCAGTGTTGACCAGTGAGATGGTAACATACCAGCTCATGGAACCAACTTCTAGGGCGCAACGCTGAGGCCACTGCTTTCTACCACGGTTGTTTATCATCATCGTATACTTTTACATGTTGGTGGCATCCATGAACCTTACGCAAGGGTTGGCACCACCAGTACACGTAAGACAGTACTGACGAACGGTTGCGGAAAATTCGATACTGTTAGGAACAATAGACAAATAAACTACACTTTGAAGAAGGAAACCTAAGATGTTCCCGTCCGACTAGTGCCGCTGACAAGTGACACTCACAGTATGTCAATGGTCAGTAATAGATGGCATTATACTGCATCTTCCTTTTTTCATCATGTCAGCATTTTCTTGCTTCTCTTCACCTACCCAGAGTACAAACCAGCATCACATGTTGCAGATTCCTTCCCCCAGAGAGCACGTCCTAACCATAGTTTTAAAGGGGTGGACCGGTAAGCTAACGGAAGGCCTCAATCAGACGACCAAAAACTCCAGATGCGGTTTATCAGATGCCTAAGAACAGTGTCAGGAAACAGGACAAGTGTTTCCTGACAAACTTCACCTTACCTAATCTTCCCAGATTAAACATCACCTCTCCCCAGGATAAACACCTCCCCAGAGTAAAACATTACACCCGTGGGCAAGACCCGTGAAGAACTCCCGGGTCGGGACTATGCCGGCGAATCAAACAAGAACACCCGTGAGTTTAGCCAGCATCACACGTCATAGATCCCTCTCTCCTCTACCACCCAGAGTAAACACACTCACCAGAAATAAGTTCTCTTCGTCTCTGGCACAAGAATGGAGTCCTCCACCGACCATAGACTCAGCATTATGCCACCTGTAGAGGGCGACGAGGGTTACTGATCCTGAGGAACGAGACCAACACATCTCACCAGGTCGGCAGCAGTCTTCTTCCTGGAAGAAAAAAAAAGTATATGACTAAGGCGCAAGATTTCCCAGACAGTTGTTGTGGTCACCATCTATCACTAGTATCTTCATAATGTCTACCTGGTGTAGAGTCCGGGGGACATCGCCCACCGCGGCTCAGTTCCACATGCTTATGGAAATAAATGGTATAAAATACCGACACAATGGCAATATAAACACAAATGCAGTATAATGTGATCCACATGCTTATATATATAGACCCGTTTTATTTAATACGTTAAAACCGTAACCGAAATGTACATTATTTTACCTCTACTAAACAATTATACACATTAATTTCATATAATTACTTTTAAGACAAGTGTATATATTTAGAAATAAGCATGAATAACAATTAAATTGAGATTTCTACGTCACTGGGTTGCGTGTTTCTACAGATCAAGGCTGAACACGGTAACACGAGACTAAATAATTAAATACACAGGGAAGAAAAACACGAGATGGAGAGATTTGCAAAGAACATTAGGAGAGTACGAGGATAGATGGGCGGAGGAAGGAAGGTGGAAGCGTAAAAACTATAAAACTTTGGATGAGGAATATGCAGGAGTAATTAAGAGAGGTTAATGAGGTTGAAACGGCGTGAGGAAGAGGGTAGCAGACATGGGTGCGTGCACACACAGCAGCAGACATGGGGGCGTGCACACACACACACAGCAGCAGACATGGGGCATGCACACACACACAGCAGCAGACATGGGGGCGTGCACACAACAGCAGACATGGGGGCGTGCATACACATAGCAGCAGACATGGGGGCGTGCACACACACAGCAGCAGACATGGGGGCGTGCACACACAGCAGCAGAAATGGGGGCGTGTACACAGCAGCAGACATGGGGGCGTGCGCGCACACAGCATCAGAGATGGGGGCGTGCACACACACAGCAGCAGACATGGGGACGTGCACACGCACACACACACACACACACATCAGTAGACATGGGAGCGTGCACACACAGCAGCAGACGAGCGAGCACACGACAGACATTAATCCCACGACCCTCTCTTCATCCAGGTAGCAGAGTGCCTTGATGCTGAAGGGCTCTTAATCCAAGGAACCGAAGCTACCCACCCCCTTCCTTGAATCAATCCTATCTCCCATTCTACAGTCGGTGTACAACCTCAATGAATTTAGCGCTTTCCCTTAAGAATAAAAAAGAATTCAAACTTGGAGCCTCAGACTTGGTATAACTTACAATGAGACGGGAAGATTATTGTGGAAGATTTTCTTACGTATGTGTGTTGGGTTAATTCTTAATTAGCGCCAGCTTTACCACCTAAAATCCGCCAGCCTCTCCATGAATTCTAACTTGACCATTTCCGCCACAACGTGGCTGTCGAACCAAGTATACTGGAGACTGGCTACTTATCAAGATGACACCGGGTACCTGGTCCACTGCCAAACAGTAATCCAGCACACTTATTCACTAAATGGAGCGTAGAGCTGAAATGTAGGTGCTTACTTGCGTGTAACTAATGACACTTGACCAATTCTGGACCGACTTTCGTAAAGCTATTCCAACAACTCAGTTACGTCCCTACCTACCTTGCACAAGATTTTGGATGGCAATGTAATTAATGAACTGTGGACGTAGTGTGGTACTCGAGACATCAGCACAAGACACCCATTAATTTCTATCCTTTTAAATGATGAGCGGTCATCATATCGGAATATCATCAAATCGCTGACACTCAGCTGAACCCGAGCACTAGTAACACCCACAAGTTACAGCTCCAGGTTGTGGAATCCTGAGTATGTCCAGAGATCCTCCGAGTCAATATTCTCTCACGCCCGTCCTTGAGACGTTGGAACACACGTGAAATTAGAGGTCAGAGAATTAAGAGCCCGGCCCCGTGTGCTCCCCCGCAAGACAGCCGTGTGTCCTTCATGGTGCCAGATTCGAAAGTGACGGGACACTCAAAACTAGCCAGATAGCTCCAGAGTATGTCCAATGCCCTGCCTTGAGGCTGTTGCCAGTACTGACGAGGAGAGCTAATTAAATGCTCCTGATATGTGAGAATGTCAGCCACTATAATGTTCATCAATTCAATGTTCCGAGACCTAACGAGACAGATCTCACTTGTATCTAGCCATTGAAGAATTAGACATGGCAAGATGGATGACATATGGCCTTTATTCTGAGGTGAGGTGAAAGTCGTTAATCCCCCTCCCCCACACTAGGTGTAGATGATAATTGTCACGGTGACCCCGAGGTCACAGCCATCTCAAGGGAGGGAAGGAAGGTATATAGCCGGTGGAATAAATTCTACGACAATTTGGCCAGCAGCTTCCTGTTACTTGGCTCATTTACTGCGGCTTACGGCATAATATTCAATCACAGTGAACCGTACTGACTGAATAAGCAAACGAGTTGGATGCGGCTGGAAAGATGCCCTTCTCAAAATCCATAAATGAAACTAGGGTTGCCCTTATCTAAATATAGCTTACTTGGTCTACACGCCCCCTACCCTTTCTAAAGCCTCCTCGTTCATCTACAATCCTGCTCTACCATAGCTTGGCCAAGTGTGAAAATCTAGTCAATTTCACTATTGTATACAGACTACCTCTTCCCTTAAAGGTTCAATTCTCTCCTGCTGTCAGTTCTATTTTCTGAATAATAATGTGTGTGTGTGTGTGTGTGTGTGTGTGTGTGTGTGTGTGTGTGTGTATGCTCACCTAATTGTACTCAACGGGATTGAAACAACTCCTGGCCCCGCCTCTTCACTGATTGCTACTAGGTCCCCCCTCCCTCCCTCCTTCCCTCCTCTTCCTTTCCTTCCTCCTTCCTTCCTTTCCTTCCTTCCCTCCCTCCTCCTTCCTTTCCCCTTCCTTCCTTCCTTCCTTCCTTCCTTCCTTCCTTCCCTATTTCCTCTTCCTTCCTTCCTTCCTTCCTTCCTTCCTTCCTATTTCCTCCCTCCACTCCCTCGCCTCCCTCCCTCCTCCCTCCCTCTCCCTCCCTCCCTCTCCCTCACCTCCTCTCCCTCCCTCCCTCCCTCTCCTTCCCTCCCTCTCCCTCCCTCCCTCCCTCCTCCCTCTCCCTCTCCCTCTCCCTCTCTCTCTCTCTCTCTGCTTCCTGATGTAGACACGCTATGTATGGTTCCTGACTCCACTACATCACGTGCTAGGCTATTCCACTTCCTGACGACTCTGTGACTGAAGTACTTTCTAACATCTCTGACTCGTCCGAATCTTCAGCTTCCAATTGTGACCCCTTGTTTCTGTGTTCCCTCTCTGGAATATCCTGCCTCTGTCCACCTTGTCTATTCCACGCATTATTTTGTATGTTATCATGTCTTCCCTGACCCTCCTGTCCTCCAGTGTCGTCAGTCCGATTTCCCTCAACCTTTCTTCGTAGGACATTTCCCTGAGCTCCGAAACAAGCCTGATTGCAAACCTTTGTATTTTCTCTAATTTCTTGACGTGCTTGACCAGGTGTGGGTTCCAAACTGGTGCTGCATACTCCAGTATGGGCCTGACGTACAGTGTACAGTGTCTTGAACGATTCCTTACTAAGGTATTGGAACGCTATTCTCAGGTTTGCCAGGCGCCCATGTGCTGCAGCAGTTATCTGGTTGATGTGTGCTTCCGGAGACGTGTTCGGTATTATGGTCAGCCCAAGATCTTTCTCCTTGAGTGAAGTTTGCAGTCTTTGTCTAACTAGCCTATACTCTGTCTGCGGTCTTCTTTGCCCTTCCCCAATCTTCATGACTTTGCATTTGGCAGGGTTGAATTCGAGAAGCCAGTTGCTAGACCACGTGTCCAGCAACTGTGTGTGTGTGGTGTGGTGTGGGTGGTGTGGTGGTGGTGGTGTGGTGTGGGTGGTGTGGTGTGGGTGGTGTGGTGTGGGTGGTGTGGTGGGGTGCGTGGGGGGGTGGTGTGGTGTGGGTGGTGTGGTGTGGGTGGTGTGGTGTGGGTGGTGTGGTGTGGTGTGGTGTGGGGTGGTGTGGTGTGGGTTGGTGTGGTGGGGGTGTGGTGTGGGTGTGTGTGGTGTGGGTGGTGTGGGGGTGGGTGGTGTGGTGGTGGTGTGGTGTGGTGGTGGGTGTGGTGTGTGGGGTGGGTGTGTGGTGTGGCGTGGTGGGGGGTGTGGTGTGGTGTGGGTGGTGTGGTGTGGGTGGTGTGGTGTGGGTGGTGTGTGGGTGTGGTGGTGTGGGTGGGTGTGGGTGTGTGGTGTGGTGTGTGTGGTGTGGTCGTGTGTGGTGTGGGTGGTGGTGTGTGGGTGTGGTGGTGTGGGTGGTGTTGTGGTGTGGTGTGTGTGGTGTGGTGGTGTGGTGGTGTGGTGTGGGTGTGTGTGGTGTGGGGTGGTGTGGTGTGTGTGTGTGTGGTGGGTGGGGTGGGTGTGGTGTTGTGTGTGTGTGGTGTGGTGTGTGGGGGTGTGGTGTGGGTGGTGTGGTGTGGTGGTGTGGGGGGTGGGGGGTGTGGTGGTGTGGGTGGTGTGGGTTGGTGGGTGGTGGGGGGTGTGGTGTGGTGGGTGTGGTGGTGGTGTGGGTGTGTGTGTGGTGGTGTGGTGTGGGTGTGGTGGGTGGTGTGGTGGTGTGGGGTTTTGGGGTGGGTGGTGTGTTGGGGTGGGTGGGGTGGTGTGGGTGGTGTGGGTGGGTGGTGTGGGTGGGTGTGGTGTGGGTGGTGTGTGGTGGGGGTGTGTGTTGTGGTGTGGGTGGTGTGGTGTGGGGGTGTGTGGGTGTGTGTGGTGTGGTGGTGTGTTTTGGGGTGGTGGTGGGTGGGTGGGTGTGTGTGTGGGGTGGTGGTGTGTGGGTGTGTGGTGGGTGTGGTGGTGGGGTGGTGTTGGTGGTGTGTGTGTGGTGTGGTTTGTGGTGGGTGTGGGTGTGTGTGTGTGGTGGTGTGGTGTGGGTGGTGTGTGGGTTGGTGGGTGTGGTTGTGGGTGGTGTGTGTGGGTGTGTGTGGTGTGGTGTGGTGGTGTGGGTGGTGGTGTTGGGTGTGGTGTGTGGGGTGGTGTGGTGGTTGGTGTGTG